ATATTTATTCACCCAAACCATATTTGGTATCAATGTTATACCTAACAATGTTCTAAATAAATTTGAAATGTCGCTTTGCTTTTGGTATACACTTACCTATTTTCCTGTTCAGAAATCTAATGTTGCTTGGTAGAGGGAAAAAGAGCTATATAAGCCCTCCACATTTAATTTAATTAGAATATATTCTTCCTTCAATTAAGATGTTTACCTTAATTGCTCTATTCTGTGCCAGTAATAAACATATCTCTTTTACAACACGCATGCACGCACTTAATTTGATTAAATCTGTCTCTGCTCTCTGATTATGACCAGAGAAAGGCGCAGTTCTTCAATTTTCAGTCTACTAGAAGAGCTGTGAAGTGCTCAGTGGCTATAGAATCCAATTAAATAGAAGTGCTGGCATTTGCTTTTCAGCATAAATGTCAAGTGGATATTCATAAAAGTTTTTAGATCATTTCAAAGGTCACTTATTTTTTAAAACCATATTTTCCCCTTTGGGTTATTAGAACCCATAGAAAGAACTTCAGAGAGACATAAACATAAATATGGCATTTCACTCTTAAGCACAGTGTAGAAATATTTGAGTGTCAAAATCTGTGCTTTTATTTAAAAAGTGTTTGAAGCTTCTGAGTCTAAGAATCTTTTCTTGAAAATTAGGGAAAATTTGCAAAAAAAGAAAAGAAAGAAAGAAAAAAAGAAAAGAAAAGTAGGGGACAGATTTCTTTTGAATGTCCAAAAGCAATAGTTAGTGAAATAAGATCCATTTTGATGCATGTTGATTGGACTTAGCCTGCACCTACCATTCCCGCCAGGTGGACAAGGTAAAGCTCCCAAGTTACATTTATAAGTATTACTTATTCATTTCAACAAATAATCACCTTTTAGGCTAAACAAATCTTCTAATTCTATGACGCTTTAAAGTTCCATTTGGTGTAGCAATTCACTTAAAATATTTTTATCTGTATTTGAAGCAATCAATTTATACTAGTCAATTTTTTGCAAATCCATGATTCCTTCTTACTAGATATTCAACCATTGTATTGGTCTTCTCCATTGTATCAGACTTTTATTAGTTAAATAAACATTTTAGCCATTTAAGGACTTTAAGAATGTAAACAGTATTGCCAGTTAGAGATACCCAGAAATTTTGAGGGTAAAAGTTATGGCATGGTATTGTCAGACAGAAGAAAATCAGAATGGTAGAAAGATTTAGCAGCACAAAAAGAGATGAGAAAACAATGTGATTTGATTCCAGATGTAAGCAAAAATGCAAAGTAAGCTATTTCCATATCAGGCTAATGCCTGATATCAGTTACAGACAGTTTGCATTGGCAAATGAAGCAAAAATATTGTGAATTCTTGGAAAATGAACAAAATTACTTTTATTTATTTCTAAAATCTATATGCTGTCCATCTCACTGCCGTGCAATTCTGGACAGCCTAAAATACAACAGAACTATATTGTAAAAGATAAAAACAGTAAAATAATAAATTTAACATAAGAATACATAATCTCGTCCCTCCCCACAAAAAACTCTGGATTTTCCCAAAGATATCACTTGGTTATTACCAAACATCATTTGTTGACTCCTTTTAAAACCATTTTTACAATCTGATTGAAAAGTTGGCTGCTTGTTGTATTTCTAATACAAATGCAGTTATTTAATGTATCAACAAACTCATGAACATTAACTGCCTACTTATAATAAAGTAATATGTCCTTGAAAAATTGGCAGTTCTAATTGCATACAAAAGGGTTAAAAATTCCTGGTTGAACTACAGATCCCATAATTGTCAACAAGAATGGTCAGTGGAGGATGTTGAGTCTACTTGTTACTTTCTAATTACCTACTCACTTGCAAAAAATGCTAAATTGAATAGTTTAAGTTTGGATCTAATAAAGCAGAACCTATTTTTTCAGTAAAAGTGCAGTGGCTTTAAATTAGCATAAAACATCTAACTCTTGCAAGAACTTAACAATCATTGGAGTCACATGAGTTCTAGTTTTAAAGTAGCTGAGAAAACCTGGCAAGCAATCAGCTGCCAATGGAGTGGCTACAATAATTATTCAGTTGACTAATTTGTAAATATGTAATAGGACCAGCAGCCTTACTAAGAATAAATATCAGGGAGAAGAAAGTCCTGTTATGAAAGGAACCTGTCAACACTCTATTTTGCTATGTTATGGCTGATTTAATTGTCACAGAGTAGCAACGTTAATATTGCTTAATTGCCTTCACAAGACTCATACAATGGGTTTTGTTTTCTGACACTTGTCCCATGGACATACATTTCTGCTGTTCATAAGGCAGGACAAAAAATGGAAGAATATGTTTAGTGTAAAAAATACTTCATTTAGTTTTTTCTCAAAGGGAGTTTTACGTTTCTTTTTCTAATAATTCCTTTTTAATTACAGAGCAAAGAAATTGCATTCCAGCTTCATGAGGATTTAATGAGGGTTCTTAATGAGCTTTACACGGTGAGCATATTGATTTGGCTTGAAGGAAAGAATTATTGACTGAAAATCCTCTTTTACATTATTTTAAATGTTTCAGTTGAGTCAACCTGTCTTAGAAAAATATTAATCTGATGATATTTAAATAAATAAGATGGTGGATTTGGACTCCAAAGACAGCATGTATCTTTCTAACTGTTATATGTTATAAGTCTGTTTACAGCATACAGTTAAAAGTGTGAATGTTGGAATGGGAATAAAATCCTAGAAATAATTAATCATGATTGTATAGATATTAACATCTGAAAATGACAGAATTTGCATATATATTGTAAAGTATCTAGATTTGCATGGTGAATGAGTCATTATAAACATTTTAAATCAATAAATATCATTGATACATAGTTGTATACTTTATACTTGACACTTCTTTCTTTTAAGGGCCTACCATCCTAATAGCTGATGTTACTATTCCTAAAATGAAATTAAAAATGCTTTATGAAAATAATTATATATTAAACTATAAATCCTTAGGCAAAGTTCAGTGCTGTAGAATTAAACAAGTAAGACACTTTTAATAACATATTTTTAAAAAAATTATGTAGTTTTTTCCAATTAAAGGTTTTCTAATATAAACCAGACCTTTATAACCTGTCCTAAGCCCCAAAACAGACCAAACAATAATTTAAAATAGGGTATAATGCAGTTTTATTCACTTTATAATCTTACCTTGAACTTTTCACTCTCTTGGACCCAGGTGATGAAAACATACCATATGTATCATACTGAGAGCATCAGTGCAGAAAGTAAATTGAAAGAGGCTGAAAAGCAAGAAGAAAAACAAATTGGCAGATCAGGAGACCCTGTTTTTCACATTCGACTGGAGGAAAGACACCAAAGACGGAGTTCAGTGAAAAAAATTGAAAAAATGAAGGAAAAAGTAAGGATCAGTTTGCCTTAATTGTTTGAAATTAAAATGAGCAACTCCAAAATTCATTTAAACTTTGGTCATAGTTTTGTATTAGATTGGGTAATTTGGGCTGGAGATAAAATAGTGTCATACTCACATGAGTGGTCCTCTCCTGTAGAGATGGGGAAGCTGATGTTCCATTGGTGTCTTCAGGGTTATGGTTGTATTTCTACACTTAAAGCAACTTTTATAAAACCTTTTGTAAGAGCAATTGAAATCTAAAGTTAAATGTACCAGTGTATTATTATAAACCCACAAACACATTATCAACAGAATAATGGGCTTTGTTACCCTCTCTATTTCATCCCTGCAAAGTTTTTTTTTCTGTTGGAGGAAATCCTTATTTTTCCTTCACTATTGCATGCTGTGGCTAGTGAATCAGGACTCCCATTGGTCAATATGACTTTCTGTAATTACAGAATATGGCAGCATATCCCACAGCCATTTTGCATATCAATTAAAACATTGTCTCTCTGGTTTTAGAGACAACTCTATTTCATGATTTGTATCATATGGAAGTTTTGTACAAGAGGAATGTTTAAAAATGCCAATCAACTAATAGATCAACCCATCTTAGACCAATCTCTGGGTGTGTCAAATCCCAGGGATAAAAGCAATATATGTAAACAATAAAAACAAACAATTCCCCCAGTAAAACAAAAAAAAGATTTGCATATAACTACATACATTTTTAAAGAAAGGAATGCCATTGTTCACAAATAGTGAATATGCCATTTTTTATTTTATAAAATGGTGTCATAAATTTATGATTTTGCACATGTGTTAATATATATTTTTTGCCAACTTTACATTATTTCTATTCGCAGCGTCAAGCAAAATACTCTGAAAACAAACTGAAATCTATTAAAGCCAGAAATGAATATCTGCTAACCCTTGAAGCAACAAATGCTTCTGTTTTCAAATATTATATTCATGACCTTTCAGACCTGATTGATGTAAGTAATTGGCATTTCTGAAATTCTTATGCTACTGGATCATGTTTAGAATTCTGGGTCTGCTTTTTGTTCTTTAAAATGGTATGATTACAATTATGTTAAACACAGTTATAAAAGGGTTGTTTTATTTAGTGTCATCTTTTGTTCTACTGAAGTGTAGGGAAATATATGGAAAACATAACAGCATAGGCTACTCCTACTCAGCTACAGGGTCTCAGACTAGAACTACTCATTTGATTAAGAAATGTGTTTATTATGAAAATATTTCAATAGAGGAGAATATTTGTAGCTCATGATTGAAATGAGGCGTCTTTGGTGCTTTCTGAGCTTAGTTGTTTTCTTGTAGTTTAATTACCAAAGTAGGTAACATTATCAGTACTTTCATTTTATATTCTAAAGCAGGGATGCAAACTCAAGTCCTGTTTGCCAGATCTGTCCTGGCTCTTTGAATGTTTAAGGTTGCAGACCCAGACCCCTGGTTTAAGCAAATAACATGGTCATTAAGTGAACCTTGTGGTCATTAAGCAAACACTGGTTGTTAAACAAGTCGATTTCCCCACTGGACATTTTTAACCAAAAACCAGGAGGAATTGTTGGAAACTGGCAAAAATCATAGAAAACCTCAGTCACATGACTGTGTAGGATGTTGTAACTGGTCATAAATGTGTGTGTGTGTATGTATGCGCATGTCAAAACTCCAAAAACAAGTCAAGTAGCTCTGGGGAGACCAGTCGTAAATTAGAACACTTGCTAAGCAACTGGCCATTTAGCGATTTGGTTTGCCTTAAGGGTTCAGAGCTGTATGGAATCTGTATGGAAGAAAAAGGAAGGAAGGAAAGAAAAGAGGGAGGGAGGGGAAAGTGAATGACATATAATTGCATGGATAGATGGATGGTTGGATAGATAGATACATGAAGGGAGGGAGGGAGGAAGAGAGAGAGGGGAAAAAAGGAGAGGAAGGAAGGACCACAAATCCTGGCACTAGACGTGGCTTTAGAAGATGTTTTGAAACAGCACAGCAATCTAGGACTGGAAGGGATCTCAAGAGGTCATCTAGTCCAATCCCCTGTTCTAGCAGGAAACCTTATATCATCTGGATTATTTTGGTGCCTCTAACGGAGGGGAAAATTGCCAGAAAGGAGAAGAAGTTTACTAGGACAAGGCTCCTATGCAGAGGAAGCCCTTGACTTATGACTACAATTGAGGCCAAAATTTGGTTGCTAAGCAAGAGCATTGTTAAGTGAATTTCACCACATTTTATTCACTCCATGATATCTCCTGGCTCTAACAGTTATGTGCAGGCTGGGAAAGAACATCTGAAGACATGTGTAATGTTCTAACGTACAGAAGTTATAATTAAATGTGTGGCAGAAAGTGG